ATGCATTAATCATAAAATCAAATACACATTAGTTTTTAGAGTAACAAATCCCAATCATATCAGCTATACACATAACAAATCCACATCGGGAGGACATTACTACAAAATAACAAAATCAGAAGGGGAGTGGGTCTGTGGGTGCCCTTACTTTGCAATGGCATCAGCAACTATGTTACATTACCTCAGCACATGTTTCATTTGGGGGTGAAGGATCATGCACAAAAGGGCCCTATAATCCATAACGAAAGAACCATGAGGACGACGAGGATTGGGGTTTTCAGAAAGCAAAAGATAAGCTACTGGCAATCAGTGTCAGTAATCACATTCTCAAACCGTAGATTGATAGGCCATATGGAGTCCGTCTCAAATAGCTCATAGTTCCACAACTAATGTAGTCATAATAAAAATCTCACCCACATAGCCAATAATCCAATGGCCCTGAGAGTCAAGAAATGGTCCACCACAGCTACATCCCCCGCATTATTGATGGTAGAACCATCGGTATTAAGTTTAAACCAATGCAGAGGGGGGTGGTTCGAAGAGATAAGGTGAGGGTGTTTCAAAGAAATACCAGGGAAGTAATTTTGTGTTGACCAAACCTCAATAACTCTCTCAACAATCAATCAACATACATCTTGGATATCAAATCGGGTTGCCCATAGATAACATGATTTCGTTGACTCCAAATAATCTGGATGGCGAAAAAAATTAAAGTCAACACCGCCCAAGGAATGTTGATCCATGGTAATTCGATCCCAATCCAATCATACCCACCCATTTGCCTTGTTTATATTATATATTTTAATTTTTGATAATCTATCATATATTTTATTTTAAATATATAAATAATTACAAAATATAATAAATTTTATGTTTTTACACGTTGGGAGGTATGAAATACTTATAAAATGATATAATTTTATAACAAAAGGTTGGTTAAATTAATACAAACTAATTTAAAATTTAAAAAAAGTTAATTGGATTGAAGATTGGGGATTCAAAAGTTTAAATTTTTGCAATGTCGAGAAATTACCTTGCAAGAGTTAAGATTGATTTATAATGGTGTAAGTGTTACACTAAGAATTAGTTTTAAAATTTTAGTGGGTAATGCAATATTTAAACTTTCAAAATAACTCCTTAAGTTTTTTAAATGTGTGACTAAAAATTAGTGTAAAAATTTTCAAACTTACAAAAGTTGTAATTTGATCCCACTCAACTTGCAATATATTAAAAAAAAAAGAATAAAATCATAATTTTTATTTCCTATATGTTAAAATATCAATTAAAATTCCCTCATAAAGATAAAAATTTCATTTTCAATTGTAATATAATACTGATATTTTTTTATGTGAATATTTCATAGTATTATTCCACAAGTTAAAAGGATTACATATTACTCATGTATTGAATATTTCAATTATATTATTGTTTTGTAATGTAAACTATATTAGACTGTAAAATAAAAACTTTTGCATGGCAAGAAGTCTTGATATCAAGGAACTTACCTCTAGTTCAATACTCTATATTTTATAATTTGATATAATTTATATTACAAAAGAGTTTTTTGATACTATAATACTAATATTTAGAACTTATTTGATATAGCAATTAAAATTTAATAAATAGTGAATACAAGTTATGGATAGAAATAACAAATAGCAAGTAATGAGTGGGAGTTAGTAAATAATAGCAAATAACAGGTGGTGGTTAGCCAATAACAAGTTATAATAGATTTTGATTAATATAATTGTTTGATTATATAATAATTAGTGATTATTATTTGATGTTAAATAACTAATAAGAGCATATTTAAAAGCAATTAAATGTATTTTTTTCTTTTATATTTTTATTATTAAAATGATTAATTTTATCAAAACAATAATAAATAAATAAAATATAAAAATATGAATCATATACTTATTTTATTTTTAATTAAGAAAACATTATATTATTTTTAAATAAAAAATTAAATTTTAATTATTTCATCTAATTAATAAATTGCGTTTATTAAATTAATAAATTTTTTATGATAAATTAAAATAAAAA